CGCAGTGAGAGACAGAGGGAAGGAAGATGACGTGACCCCATGCAGTTGTTTACTACAGGTGACTGGAAGATGTGTTTCAGAACAGCCCGCAAGCTCCCTTTCCACCCAACAAGGACAATAACAGCATGGAGGGCTAGACAAGAGCCACATACAGTGGTAAGAGGAAGAGAGCAGTTGAGAGGCAGTAATAATCCAAAATACTTCTGGGAACACAGCAGGAACAGCTGTCAGAAGACCAACATTTTAATCAACAAACTTTGTACACAAGAGGCTTCCCACTAAAGGAGTACACTTATTCCTGGTTCTGCCACCTGGGGTTTTAAGGCCCAGGATGATCTCTCTTTTTCAAGCTTCCCCCAACAAGTAATTCCAGGGAGAATGGCTCTCCAGAACCTGTCACAGGAGCAACATTCAACCCAGCCTCTCCTTTGTGAGCTGATATTGAATGCATCATGTCTTCCACTCTCCTCTCACATTCGCCTGGCTTTCCGTGGGCGGCAGCCGTTGTGTGGAACCGGCGTGTTGTCAGTGATGGAGATGACCTCCAGACCTCCCATAGTCAAACCTTTGATGGCAGCCTGGAAGAACAAGACAGGAGATGATATGCTGTTGGCAACACATTGAACACCAGAAAAGGGAAAAGCTCAGGGGAAAATAGTTTGGTCCCCTGTCCAAAAATCAACTAGTTCCAATGGTTCTACTTTGTAAGTACCTTAAAAAATAGGTAATTTGTATCGGAAAACCTAGTTTACACCTATCTGCTCCAGTCCTTTCATCAGCATTCTCATCAATTTTCCTACTTTGGTTGGAAGAAGTCTCAAATACAGCTTTTACTCTGCCTCCAAAGTGATATTTACTCTAAAATTCTAATGATTCTAAAATTTAATTACTAGGCATCTGAGTGATGAAACCAAACTCAGTTAACAGGTATAGTAGCCTGAATTTAAAAAACCTGGATGATGCTTGAGAAAGAAAAATATGAAAAGAAACTTTGACACCTACTTTGCGTCCTGGTCCCAGTCCTTTCACCATGACTCGTACATGCAACACACCCTTCCCACGTGCTTTCTGCGAAAAGAACAACTTGTTAGTGTTCTCTTTGATATTATTAGTGCTGCTTTGGCTCCCCTGGAGTCTTCATTCCCTTTTGACTCACTGTCACAGTATTCTTTAAGTAAAGATAAAGAGGAGGTAGTAATGGATACAGAAGACAAACATGGGGATTATTGCACAAAGACACTAGTAGAAAAGGAGACCTGGACACAGCCATGGCAGTTCCAAGAGAACTTCTGTGCCAGGCTGTCAGCTCTGCACACAGAGAAAGCTTTAAGATCAAACTATGTGACCTAAAGGCAGGGCAAAAAATGATATATCCATGGGTACGTGACTGAACTGGCAAGAGACTAACTCAAAGCTGTTTTTCCTTCTCTGATGCAGCGGCTTCTCTCCTGTGATCAGTGGATTCCTTCTAGAGGGTAAATGAGAAAAGCAGGCAAGCTTTATATTTTCTGTGCAGGAGTCCACACCTTCAGTGCAGAAATTCTAGGGGCTTGCAAATTGAAAATGAAAACTACCTGTTGTAAAGCATAGCTGTGCTGCCACCAAGTGGATGGAGCTCCCCTGGGTCTCTTGCTTTCCATGTTCTGGTGCAATTAATATACTAACAACTTTAACAGTGACGCAATAAATCTGGCCAAGCACTGCTATGCAGCTATTATGAGGCTCTGATGAGCATGGATTAATAATGAAGATGTTCTTCTATTCCTCTGAGTCAACCACAATAAGCTGTTGGCCAGGAGTGGCACCAAACACCTCTGACATGAAAGGCGAGAGCAAGTGCCACCTCATTTAGGATGACGATTTTCAGTGTAACCTTGCCTCATTCTGCTGTAATGAGGACCATGACACAGCCAGCCTCATCTGCTCCTACCATCTGGACACCCACATGGGTTTGTGGTTTTTTTTTTTAGGAACAATTACAGTAAACTGTATGCAGCTGGAAACTACACATGGAAGGACATCACCTTCTCTGACTGGAACTGCTGACAACAGCTCAATTCTCCTGTGGCAGAGAGCAAATATAAACCATTCAGCCAGTAATTACAGCCACTTCTCAGTCCCCTGCAGTGCAAAAATTGAACTGCTGCTGATTCAGGGGCTGCATTTCCAAAATGGCTGAGAGATGTTCACTTAGGAAAAAGGAGCTACGCAAACTGGAGCTAGAAAAGGAGAGGCTCCAAGGTACATTTTCCAATCGCAACCTGCACAGCTAAGCTCACCCTCTGGGCTTTTCTAACTGCTGTTTTAAACATGTTTTGTCTGCGTGAAGACGCGCACTGTGTTGAATGAAGCTAGGGAAACTGTCAACAAACAGCGGGATGCTGCTTGAGCGTGAACGAGCAGAGCTCTGGACTGCTGCCCGTAAGTGAGGTGTGTACTCAGACAGTGGGGGGGGATGAAGCCATGCTCCCCCTGGGAGGGTGGACTCACCACGGCTGCTGCAATGGCTGCAGTCTGTGCCGCAATGGCAGTTCCCTTCTTGGCATTCTGGAAGCCTTCTGTGCCACAGGATGTACGGGCAAATGGCCTGTTGTCAAAGCTGACCACTTGGATGTGGGTGCTACGGAAAGAGAGAAGGTGCAAACGAAAGAAGCAAGCTGGAACAAAGCTTCATCCTCCAGTTTCTTCTTGCTTGGCTTACTGGAACGGCTTGTCTCCCTTCTCCAAGCCACCCTAAC